GATAAGGGTCTGATAAAAAGATAGAACACCGGCACATCCTGGACATCCCTTGTTTGCCACTCTTTTATCAGGTAGGCTTAAAAATATCTGGATTTGGACTAATATGTGGCAGAACCTGAGCTGTAGATAAGATGTTGCAGCAAGTATGAACTTTTAATGTAGAGGTAGGTAATTATATAAGAACAATAATTGTTAAGGTTTTGTGGTGTATTATAGTGTTGTTTTGATCTGTTTACAACCCCAATTCCAAAAAAGTTGGAAAGCTTTGTAAAATCTACATAGAAACAGAATGCAATGATTTGCGAATCTCATAAACCTATATTTTATTCACACTAGAAAATAGAAAACATATCAAATGTTTATACTGAGAAAATGTACCATTTTAAGAAAACTTTTTTGGAATTGGTCTGCATCTATGAGAATAGGCCAAACAGCAGTGAGTAGCCTGATGTAGATGTTGGATAGGCTGAGTCGAACTCCTTCTGCACTTCGGGTCAGCCGAACATGCTGAGCATGTTCGGCGGACCCGAAGCCATGCGAAGCAAGCCGATGTACGGCTGATTTCACCCAATATATGGCTGAAATCAGCCGTACCAGCCTGAAGTGAATAGCCAAACAGTGTTCGGCTCACTTCACTTGGGGTCGGTTGTTCACTCGGCTGCCCTCGGCAGCTTAGTGAATAGACCCGACTGTTTCTCATTCACAGGGCTGGACGAGAAAAACATTCTCTGTCTCCCCCCTGGTCTATACTGCAGCTGATTGGTTGCACAATGAACTTCACAACATTCATTGTGTTGATCTATTTCAATTGATTTTGTTTGATTTGTTCATTGCAAACAGTTGCAAGTCTGTACATGTTGCCAATAAACCTGATTTGCAATGGGAGTTGAATAGTGTTTATTACAACAGTAGATATCTGATATATAGATGTGTTGGATGACTGCAGCTTTCGCCGCTGTCTGTGGTTCAATCCCGAGGTCCCGGGAGTCTGAACACACCTGGAAGTGTGTCAGATGTGAAGATCTTCTCTTACAAGAGCTTTTTGTTTTCCGTTTTCAGTTTAGAGTCACTTTAACAGATGAGTGCATTTAAAAAACAAAGTGCATTTATCTTTTTTGCCCCTTATCCTGGCCTAACCTAACCCACCCTCCCCCTCCACAGATGTATACTTACCTCAAATTACCAATGTGGTTCCACTGTTTATTTACATGTAGCAGTGCAAGTGTTCTGTGCCCTGGCTGTACCTGTGCATTACAGCCCCATACATTTCTATAAAGCTGTATCTCAAGGCCGGGGATGGTTAAAGACAGTACCATAAAAGTCTATGCGGCTGTAATGCACAGACGCAGCCAGGCAGTAAACACTTGCAGTGCTGAATATAAACAAACAGTGGAACTGCAGCCGTCAGATCTTGGTAAGTTTGCATCTGTGGCGGTGGAGGATGGTTAGGTTAGATCAGGGCACAGAGGCAAAAAAGGATAAATGCACTTTGTTTTAAAGCACACATCCTTTAATAACAAATTATAGAAGGCAGGAACAGGAAAAAGGTTATATTGAAAACATGTTTCATTTGGCTGGACACGTTGAAACAAACAGTGTGTTCTCAATGTACACCAATCCATTAAATGAATCTACTAATTGTAATCACTATAATCTGATTTTCTAGCTGTCTGTTTATACAAGTCTGAATCACACAGTCACCATCCCCGAGTCAGTCTACATACAAATCTTCCTTTTATTTTCCCAGCCTGCCACCATGTGGAAGTATCTTGCAATAAATCTGCTTGGACACATCATGGTTTAGATCCCTGCTTATCTGACAGTCAGCTTCTGTTATTTCAGTCCCCTGCTCGGAGGATAGATTTCCTATTTTTCCAATAGCGCAGCAACAAATTTCATTAGGAAGATAATGCATTTCTTAGCAAGCGCTGTAGACTGTACAGTGTATAAATAGCAGCACAAACCATTGCAGCAAAGGGTGGGCCAGAGGATCTTGCTTATCCATCTGCTTCTTGATTTCCAAATAAGGTGCCTGGAGCAATAAAAATAAAATACGTATAACATAACCGTGCAATCTCTAAACAAACAACGCACGAGCAGATTTAATGCAGAGATGAAGCAAGATGGAGAATGTAATTTATGCGGCCAAACTCTATTTAAAAGTAAGCCATGCCATTAATTAGTAATGGTAGCCTTGGCTGTGATGCAGAAGTGTATAATAAGAGTTTATATAAGGTCACATGAGGACAGGCAGGCCGTCTCGCTCATGAGAACTTCAGCGCTAAGAGGCAGGTTACTCAGGTTACCTGCTGCCTCTTGTCAATCTACATCACTTGTATTATGTATCAAATGTTTTGGAAGGGAAAATGCACACAAAATGGATATAATTGAGTTTTGGCTAGCTCCTGGGGAGTTAAATAACCCCCATTTTAAAACAGCCAGAGAGCTAAATATACAGTTAAACTATATACTGTATATGTGATCTGCCAAAATATATCAGGTCTGTTCAGCCCTTCTTGTGATTCACAAAAACTCATTGCGCATCCAGAATGGTGACACAACTGTTTACTGTTGTAGCTTTTTATGTCACCGGCCTGATACCTGCTCTTTGAGTTTCATTAGTCTGATCAGGTCCTTCCTGTGTTCCTCCTCCTGTAAACTCTCTAAATGCCTCTCCATCCAGCCCCCAGTGCCTGAAAACACGGCAGATTGACAGCATTGTATGAGTGCCTTATCTTCTTCTTATATGATTTCTACCAGGCAAAGGAATATGAGCAAATAATATAAAGAAAGATTTTGCACAATTATATTAGCTTAATAATAACATATATTTCATTGTTGTTGTATAGCAGATACAAAACTGTAGTTAAAGTGACATTAAACCCTCAGATTTTTTAACATAAACCAATACTGTAATGTGTGCCTTACTGTAATCCATGGTTGTTTCCCTTCTCTTTGCTGCTCTTCCTTTTAAATCTGTATCTCTTCTCATGCTGGGCAGAACTTCTGTTTTGCAGCTGACTGCCTTGTCTCTGAAATGGATACACGGTGTCTGTGTGTAGGTTTGCAACCTGAGCCAGCACTACAGGAAGAGGCACTCAGCTGCAAAGGGAAGTTCTCCCCCAGCATGAGAACAGATACAGATGTAAAAGGAAGAGCAGCAAAGAGAAGGGAAACTACCATGGATTACAGTAAGGCGCACATTACAGTATTGGTTTATGTTAAAAAATCTGAGGGTTTAATGTCACTTTAAGGGCCTTTTGTATTTGCCCTAAATTCCACTTGGGGACTGTGTCTGTGATATGTGCCCAGTCACTATTGGAAAGAGTCTCACACTACCTATTCAGCTAATTGTATATTTAATATTAGGGTATGTCAGGGACAGTAATGAATAGTAAGACTGTTGAATGTGGAAGTGGAGCTCTGACTGGAGTCAGTGTGAAATATAAAGGTGGCCATACACTCTACAACCATCGCAAGACTTTAGTCTTGCGATGGTTGTAAAGGGATTAAAGAAACGTACGATCTGCCTATCTTGGACAGGCAGATCGCACTCTCGATCATCGCAAGGTGTGCAAGCCCGCACACCGGCCCGTTCAGCATTTATCTTCCGAGCACCGTTCTAACCAGCCGAGAATCGTATGATTCCCGGCTGGTTTTCGAACATGCTGGTTCGACAGAAGACGTGCGACCGTACAGTAGAAACGGTCGCACGTCTCCGTTCACACTGCTCGATTATTGTACGAAAAACCGATCGCATACGATTATCGTACGATAATCGTGCAGTGCATGGGCACCTTTAGAAACTAGAGAATGATTTCTTCCACAGATACCACCTGTAGCTGAAGTAGTATTTTAGTGAGGAGTGGCCATTTAATTCAGGTTTCACCTGGCTTTCCTTCTCAGACATTAGCTGCCACTGGAAGCCAAGCTTAGACCTTGATATAAGAATGTCCTTTTTGCAGCCATTCTGTATCATTGGAAGAAACAATGTGGTAGGGGGTAATATTGGTACCTTCATATAAGCAAATTTGGTATAAAGTAAAAAGCATTTGCATGTAGGATAGGTGTCCCTACTAATGAGGAGATGGGCTAATGATTAGCTTAGTGGCTGGCACATACACCATACTTTCAAGAACAGCATGATGCACAGTTTAGACATAAAGCACAACTAGTTCACAAACTGGAACAACCATTTTTGATCAGGGGTGCAAGCCTTTGACACCATCTGTCTCCCACTTTTAATGCCATTTTAACATCTCTGCCATGACATTTTGACAACAATTCACACCATCAGCCATGTAAATCGACAATTTAACACTTATACAGACTTCCTGATACCAAGCAGGGCCGGCCTTAGGGGTGTGCGAGCTGTGCGGCTGCACAGGGCGCCATGGCAACAAGGGCGCCATGTGATGGATTTGGTGTCCTCAATTTCTTTTCTATTTTAAAAGGGAAATGTCAGGGGTCTGTTTGGACCTCTAATATTTCCCTGAAGCCCCCCCCCCCCCAACAGTACAAAACAAATAAATAATACAAAAACTAAAAAAAAAATAATAAAAAATGTAAAAAAAATATTTTTAAAAAG